ACACACTGGGGCCTGTTGTGGGAGGGTGGTGGTGAGGGGAGCATTAGGAAAAATACCTAATGCATGCCAGGCTTCATACCTAGGTGATGGGTTGATAGGTGCAGCAGACCACCATGGCACATGTTTACCTATGTAACAAACCTGCACATCCTGCACATGTACCCTGGAACTTAAAATGAAATAAAATTAAAAGACAAGGTTAAACCATATTAAAGAACAATAATTAGACAAAAGAAGCCTTCAATTTACAAAATCCTGAAATAATACTTCCAATTTTGCTTTCAACATATACGCAAATCCTTTAATACTGCTCCCTTCCAGAGGTGCAGCTTACTTCCATCTCTTGAGTGTGGCTTGGACTTAATGATGCACTTCCGATATGGCCTGGCTCTGTGTTTCCACATAAATCTCATCTTCAATTGTCAAGTGAATTGTAATCCCCCGATATTGAGAGAGGGACCACATAGGAGGTGATTGTGATTGAATCATGGGGATGGTTGCCACACGCTGTTCATTTCGTTTCCTTCCTTCCTTCCTTCCTTCCTTCCTTTCTTTCTTTCTTTCTTGCTTTCTTTCTTTTCTTTCTTTTTCTTTCTCTCTCTTTCTTTCCTTTCTTTCTTTCTTTCTTTCTTTTCTTTCTCTCTCTCTTTTTCTTTCTTTCTTTCTCTTTCTTTCTTCTTTCTTTCTCTCTCTCTCTCCCTTCCTTCCCTCCCTCCCTCCTTTCTTTCTTTCCTTCTTCCTTCTTTCTTTCTTTCTCTCTCTCTCTCTTTCTTTCTTTCTTTCCTCTCTTTGTTTCTTTCTTTCTTTCTTTCCTCTCTTTCTTTCTTTCTTTCCTTTCTTTGTCTTTCTTTCTTTTCTTTTCTTTCCTTCCTTCCTTCTTTCTTTCTTTCTTTCTTTCTTTCTTTCTTTCTTTTTTTTTCTTTTTGATGGAGTCTCACTCTGATGCCCAGGCTGGAGTGCAATGGCACAACCTCGGCTCACCCAAATTCTGCCTCCTGGGTTCAAAAGATTCTCCTGTCTCAGCCTCCTGAGTACCTGGGCATGCAACACCACGCCCGGCTAATCTTTATATTTTTAATAGAGATGGGGTTTCACCATGTTGGCCAGGCTGGTCTTGAACTTCTGACTCTGTGATCTGCCTGCCTGGACCTCCCAAAGTGCTGGGATGACAGGCATGAGCCACTGCACCTGTCCCCAGCCCCCACCATGCTGTTCTAATGGCAGTGAGTGAATTATCATGAGATCTGATGGTGTCATAAGCGGCTTTTCCCCCTTTGCTCTGCATTTCTCTCTGCTACCGCTAGGTGAAGGATGTATTTGCTTCCACTTCTGCCATGATTATAAGTTTCCTGGGACAGCCTTCTCAGCCATGCAGAACTGTGAGTCAATTAAACCTCTTTCTTTTATAAATAACCCAGTCTTTATAGCAGTGTGAGAATGAGCTAATACAACTTCTAACAGAGTAATGCTGACATAACAGTTTGTGACTCCGGGTGTAGAACCCAAAACTCACTGCATCTTCCACCTTTTCTCTCTCTCTGTCTCTGGGATTGTGAGCTCTGGGGGAAGCCAGCTGCTGTCCCATAAGCAGCCCTGCAGGAAGGTCCATGTGGCCAAGAACTGAGACCTTCTGGAACCAGACAACAAGGAACTAGGCCTTTTCCAACAGCCATGTGACTGAGCCATGTTTCATATGAATCCCCAGCCCCAATGAAGCACTCAGATGATGTAGCCCTTGGCTGACAACGGCACTGCAACCTTGTGAGAGGCCCTGAGCCAGAAGCACTCAGGGAAACCTCTTCTGGGTTCCTGAACAGTGGAAACTGTGGAAGACCATGAATATTTGTTGTTTTGAGCTGCTAAGCCTTACATAATATGTTACGCAATAGTAAATAACTAATTTTTACATGACAGGATGTATTACTACACATTAATTTACACATTAATTTGCATTTGCTCTAAATTTATCATCATCGTTATTATTATTTTTGAGACAGGGCCACGCTCTGTCACCCAGGCTGGAGTGCAGTGGCATGATCACCATGCACTGCAGTGTCAACCTCCTGTACTTAAGAGATCCTGTGACCTCAACCTCCTGAGTATCTGGGACTACAGGCATGAACCACCATGTCTGACTAATTTTCTAATTTTTTTTTTTTTTTTTTTTTGGCAGAGATGGGGGTTTGACCATGTTGCCCAGGCTGATGTTGAACTTCTGGCGTCAACAAATGTGCCTTCCTCTGCTTTATACAGCACTAGGATTGCAGGCGTGAGCCACCACATCTGGCCTGAATTAACTATAAGATATTAAACATGTAACTTAGTTGTGAAAGGTAAGGAGAATTTCCATGACTGAAGAGGATGTATTTTATTACCATTCACAATGATCACTTCACTTGAATTTCAATTTTCAACTATGTCTCAATTAAACACAAAAGGAAGATCCAATCCTTGCTAGGCTGATTCTATGATGGCCCCCAATCTCTACCTCCTGATCATTCACCTTCCCCCAGTTATTCAAGCAACTCTAATGTAGGTGCTGCTGTGAAGGGATTCAGCAGATATAATTAAGGGTGTCAACTATTTGACTTTAGGCTGGGTTTATCCTGCTTGCACTGTCCTAATCAGCTGAGCCCTTGAAAACACTGGGTTCTTCATGAGCATAGAGATTCACAGTGTGAGAGGGATTCAGCATGAGGGGTTTCCTCCACTGTGGGCTTTGAAAATGAAGGGGCTGTATAGGAAAGAACGCTTGTGGGCACCAGGAATTGAGCACAGCCCTCCTGTTCTCTACATTGACATCCAGCAAGGAACAGGGACCTCAGTCTTACAACTGCCAGAAACTGCATTCTGCCACCTCTGTGTAAGCCTGAAAGAGGACTCAAAATGACAACACAGCTTTGGGAAGCCCAGAACAGAGATTCCATCCACATCATGCCCAGATTTCTGACTAAGGAACTATAAACAGATAAATGAGTGGTGTCAGGCCAGGCATGGTAGTGCACACCTGTAATCCTAACATTTGAGGAGCTGACACAGGGGAATCACTTGCAGCCAGGAGTTTGAGACCAGCCAGGATAACATATTGAGACACTTGTCTCTACATTTTTTTAAAATTAGCTGGGAATGGTGGCACTTGCCTGCAGTCCTAGCTGCTCTGAAGACTGAGGCAGTAGGGTCCCTTGAGCCCAGGAGTTTGAGGCTGCAGTGAGCCATGATCATGTGACTGCACTTCACCCTGGATGACAGAGGGAGACTCTATCTCTAAAAATAAATAAATCAACAATAAATGGGTGTTGCTTAAACCAATGTTTGTGACAATTTGTTACACAGTCATAAAATTCATACACAGCCTCAACAGACTCATGGAATGAATTGATGAGTTGATATGCACATTAGTTACAGAAAATAAAATCTTTCTTAACTTTTTCAGTGTTTCATATTTTGTAATTTTCTGTGGTCCATTTTAATACACACATATTTTAATCATTCAGTCAATAAAAATTAATTTAGTGCCTACACTAACCAGGTACACCCTCATATGGACACTTGCCTGACGTTCTAGAAGCTTCACAAGACCAAGGTGGAGCCACTGGAGTGTTTTATGTGGAGAAATGAGACACTCTGCCTCACAGTAGCAGGACCACTGTGGCGAGAACAGTCACATAGCAGGTAATGGGACAGTGTTAGTGTCACAATTCAGGAGTGACAGTGTGGTGGGGACTAAGGGAGAGGAGGGCCTTAGGGATGGAAGGGATGGAGCGAAGGGCTGGAGAAGCAGGAGGTGAGGAGACGGAGCAGAGGAAAGAATTTGAAAGCAGCAGAATTCTTAGGTTTAAACACATTGTTTTATAGATTTTTAATACATCCATCTACAGAGCCTCTCAGGGTGTCCTAAGCAGTTGGGCTTTAATACCTTATGTAGATCTGCCTAAAAACTAATTGTTTCTTATGTTTATCAGGTTTAAAAAATACTAAGTGTTCCTGTAAAATAAACCCACCATTTAGATGTGGACACTTCCTAAAAACAGGCAGTGCATGAGCACTGGTGAGGGGCCTTGTGACTGCATTGAACACTTGCGACTGTGAGGTGAATGAAGTCTGTACTGGCTCCTGGTTGCAACATACAGTAACACAGTGTGCTACTTTGTACTGAGGAGATGTCCTGGACTCACACAGAAACTCAGGACTTTGGAATGAAGGTAAATTTAAAATACATCAAGTGGGAGTCACAGATACATTTCCTGGGATAGTGAAACAGAAACTTTATGAGTCCTATTGTAATGCTTTATTTATTTATTTATTTATTTATTTTCTTGCCTTGTCTCAGATGAGCGCTTTTAGACACATTTATATATCAATGGGCCAAAGTCGCATTTTTTACCGATTAAATTCCTGATCATTCAGGGGTTACCAAGATTCTGCTACCCACTGTAGTTAATAAACAAAAAGCAAACTGGTCTCTATGCTATCTCATGCTCTCAGGCAAAATTTTTCCAGATTTGAAAACAAAACAAAACAAAACAAAACCCTGTCTCTACACCTCCATTCCCAGGGCGAGCTCACTCTCTGGCACTAAGCTTCCTGGGGTGAGTTTTCTTCTAGAAGACTCCGGGGGACAGGTAAGAAGTTGGAGGCAGGAGGTCCAGTTCAGGGACCGGGATGCAGGGATGAAAAGTGAAGGGAGAGGGACGGGGCCCATGCTGAGGGTTTCTCTCTGGTTTCTCAGCAGCTCCTGAGCCAAGACTCAGGGAGACATTGAGACAGAGCGCTTGGCACAGGGGAAGCGAGGTCAGGGCGAAGTCCCAGGGCTCCAGGCGTGGCTCTCAGCGTCTCAGGCCCCGAAGGCCGTATGTGGGTTGGGGAGGCGCAACGTTGGGGATTCCCCATCTCCGCAGAGTTTCTCTTCCTCTCCCAACCTGTGTTGGGTCCTTCTTCCTGGATACTCATGACGCGGACCCAGTTCCTACTCCCATTGGGTGTGGGTTTTTAGAGAAGCCAATCAGCGTCGCCGCGGTCCCGGTTCTAAAGTCCCCAGTCACCCACCCGGACTCAGATTCTCCCCAGACACCGAGGATGGCAGTCATGGGGCCCCGTACCCTCCTTTTGCTGCTCTTGGGGGTCCTGTCCCTGACCGAGAGCCGGGCGGGTGAGTGCGGGGTCGGGAGGAAAACGGCCTCTGCGGGGAGGAGCGAGGGGCCTGCTCGGCGGGGAGGCAGAACCCGGGAAGCCGCACCGGGAGGAGTGTCGGCGGGTCTCACCCCTCCTCGCCCCCAGGCTCCCACTCCATGAGGTATTTGTACACCTTCATGTCCCGGCCTGGCCGCGGGGAGCCCCGGTACATCGCAGTGGGCTATGTGGACGACACGGAGTTCGTGCGGTTCGACAGTGACGCCGCGATTCCAAGGATGGAGCCGCGGGCGCAGTGGATGGAGAAGGAGGGGCCGGAGTATTGGGAGGAGCAGACACGGAGAGTCGAGGCCGCCGCACAGAGTTCGCGAGTGGCTCTGCGGGTCCTGCGCGGCTTCTACAACCAGAGCGAGGCCGGTGAGTGACCCCGGCCAGGGGCGCAGGTCACGACCCCTCCCCATCCCGCAAGGACGGCCCGGGTCGCCGTGAGTCTCCGGGTCCGAGATTCACCCAGAGGCTGCGGGACCCGCCCAGACCCTCGACCCCGGAAAAACTCGGGCGCCTTTACCCGGTTTCATTTTCAGTTTAGGCAAAAATCCCCGGGGGTTGGTGGGGCGGGGACCGGGACTTTTGCTTAACTGAAATGGGTGAAGCTGACGCGGGAGCGGGGCCAGGGTCTCACACGCTCCAGGCTACGTTTGGCTGCGACCTGGGGCCAAACCGGCGCCTCCTCTGCGGGCATGAACGGTTCGCCTACGACGGCAAGGATCACATCGCCCTGAACGAGGACCTGCGCTCCTGGACCCCCGCGGACACGCCGGCTCAGATCACCCAGCGCAAGTTCGAGGAGGCCAATGTGGCAGAGGAGATGAGAGCCTACCTGGAGGGCGAGTGCCTGGAGTGGCTCCACAGACACCTGGAGAACGGGAAGGAGACGCTGCTGCGCGCCGGTACCAGGGGCCAGCGGGAACCTCCTTGATCGCCTGTAGACCTCCCAGACTGGCTTTGCAGAAGGAGGGGAGGAAAATGGGACCAACCCTAGAATATCACCCGCCCTCCGGTCCTGAGGGAGAGGAATCCTCCTTGGTTTCCAGATCCTGTCCCAGAGAGTGACTTTGAGAGCCCGCCCTGTTCTCTGATACAATTAAGGGTTGCAGTCTGAGGGAAAGGAGGGGAAGTCAATCCCTGGAATACTGATCAGGGGTTCCCTGTGACCCCACAGCAGCGCTGGGCACCAGGATTTTCCTCTCCTGCCTTGTCCTCTGCCTCACACTCAGTGTGTGTGGGGGTCTGACTCCAGCTCCTCTGAGTCCCTTGGCCTCCACTCAGATCAGGTCCAGAAGTTCCCCACTCAGAGACTAGGACTTTCCAAGGAATAAGAGATTATCCCAGATGCCTGTGTCCAGGCTGGGGTCTGGGTTCTGTGCTCCCTTCCCCACCCCAGGTGTCCTGTCCATTCTCAGGATAATCACATGGGTGCTGCAGTGGTGTCCCATGAAAGATGCAAAGTGCCTTTAGTTTCCGACTCTTCCCTTCAGAGCCCCCCAAGACACACGTGACCCACCACCCCATCTCTGATCATGAGGCCACCCTGAGGTGCTGGGCCCTGGGCTTCTACCCTGCGGAGATCACACTGACCTGGCAGCGGGATGGGGAGGACCAGACCCAGGACATGGAGCTTGTGGAGACCAGGCCCACAGGGGATGGAAACTTCCAGAAGTGGGCAGCTGTGGTGGTGCTTTCTGGAGAGGAGCAGAGATACACATGCCATGTGCAGCACGAGGGGCTGCCTGAGCCCCTCACCCTGAGATGGGGTAAGGAGGGGATGGGGCGTCATGTCTCTTAGGGAAAGCAGGAGCCACTCTGCAACCTTTCAGCACGGTTGGGGCTGGGTCCTGGGGGTCCAGGACCCTCACCTTCCCCTCCTTTCCCAGAGCCGCCTTCCCAGCCCACCATCCCCATCGTGGGCATCATTGCTGGCCTGGCTGTCCTTGGAGCTGTAGTCACTGGAGCTGTGGTCGCTGCTGTGATGTGGAGGAAGAAGAGCTCAGGTGAGGAAGGGGTGAGGAGTGGGGTCTGAGATTTCTTGTCCTACTGAGGGTTCCAAGCCCAGGTAGAAGTGTGTCCTGCCTGGTTACTAGGAAGCATCATCCACACTCATGAACCGACCCAGCCTGGGCCCTGTGTGCCAGCACTTACTGTTTTGTAAATCACCTGTGACAGTGAAGGACAGATGTATCACCTTGATGATTGTGGCGATGGGGACCTGATCCCAGCAGTCACAGGTCACAAGGGAAAGTCCCTGCTGAGGACAGTCCTTAGGAGGGCAATTGGTCCAGGACCCACACCTGCTTTCCTTGTTTTTCCTGATCCTGCCCTGAGTTTGCAGGCACACATTTCTGGAAACTTCTCTGGGGTCTAAGACTAGGAGATTCCTCTAGGACTTCATGACCCTGCCACCTTTCTGACCCCTCACAGAATATTTTCTTCCCACAGATAAAAAAGGAGGAAGCTACTCTCAGGCTGCAAGTAAATATGAAGGAGGCTGATCCCTGAGATCATTGGGATATTGTGGTCGGGAGCCCATGGGGGAGCTCACCAAGTCCACAATTCCTCCTCTAGCGGCATTTCCTGTAGGCTCTGACCAGGTTCTGTTTCTGTTCTACCCCAGGCAGCGACAGTGCTCAGGGCTCTGATGTGTCTCTCACGGCTTGTAAAGGTGGGATCCTGGGGGAGGGGCTGATGTGTGTGGGTTGTTGGGGGGAACAGTGGACACAGCTGTGTTATGGGGTTTCTTTGACTTGGATGTATTGAGCTGGTGATGGGTTGTTTAAAGTGTGACTGATATAAATTTGTTCATGAATTTTTTTTATAGCGTGAGACAGCTGCCTTGTGTGGGACTGAGGTAAGAGGTAAGATTTATTCACACCTTCGATTTGGGACTTCAAGAACCCTGACTTCTCTTACTGCAAAAGCATCTGAATGTGTCTGTGTCCCTATAGGCATAATGTGAGGGGGGGGGAGACCAGCCCAGCCCCATGTCCACCATGACCCCCTTCCCCACGCTGACCTACATTCCTTCCCTGGTCACCTTTCCTGTTCCAGAGACCTGGGGTTGTGATGTCTCCATCTCTGTCTCAACTTTATGATGCACTGAGCTGTAACTTATTACTTTCCTATTAAAATTAGAATCTGAATATAATTTACTCCTTGAAATTATTTCCAGAAGAAGATTCCTGAAATTTGAGAGACAAAATAAATGGAAGACCTGAGAACCTTCCGCAATCCACGTGTTTCTTGTGCTGATTTGTTGCAGGGATGGAGAATAGATGGGGATGTGCACAGTGGGTGCTCAGGCCACTGTGGGCTTTATATGGTCACTGCTTAACTGGGTCGTCTTTGCTGCTCCATTGTCCTTAGCCCTTCAATAGAACCTTGTCCTGCCATGGCCTGTAATCACAGGGACTTGAGTGTCACCTATGGTGGTCTGTACACATAAAAGTCCTTGTGGTATCAGGAGAGAAATTTTCAGACCCCTGTCCCTCTCACCCTCCTTCCATATTTACCCCCTTATTAAATGAAGCAGATTCTGATACTTGCAGAGAGGAGGAGGGCTCCAGTAGTTTCTCATCGTAGGTAACTCTGTTGGAACTCCTGCTCTCTCTTCTCCTCTTCTTCCTGCCTGAGTTGTTAGTAATCCTAGTGCTGCCTCCAATCCAAACTCACGGATTTATAAAGCAGAGTCTAACTTAGATTCATATGTAGTTGGAAAATCGGGCCCATAAGCCTAGCATTATCTTTCCTGAAGCTAAAAATATGGCTGTGTGCTGCAGCGTGCAGGAGGGTTGTTGGAGGAGGGAGGGAGGGAGGGAGGGCACACACGCAGCCCTGGTGAGAAAAGCTCTGGCAGCACTGATGTCAGTGTGAGATGATGTTGCTCTGTAGCTGCCACAAAACAGCATTTGGCCTGAGGCTACATTAATAAAGATATTGCCTTTAGAATAGGGAGGTGCCCTACAGTGATCATTCATTCAACTGACATTTGTTGTCTGCTAGGTATATGACTGCTTTTGCATTTAGAAAGCATTTTAGTAAAAAGGATTTTCGGCCTTGTGGTGTATGTGTTCTAGATGTAAGCTTATCCAACCTGTGGCTCACAGGCTGCATGTGGCCCAGGACAGCTTCCAATATGAGGACGTTTTTACTTATCTGTGGCGGCAGATATCATGAAAATTATGCACATACCTTTTTTTTCTTGTTTCTATTTTTTTCTGCTCATCAGCTGTCATTAGTGTGTTTTATGTGTGGCTCAAGACAATTCTTCCCATGTGGCCCAAGAAAGCCAAAAGACTGGACACCTCTGTAGGCAGATGATAGATATAGTATAAACAGAGTAAGAGCAGAAAATGCTTGAGTGAGAAGGTGGCAAGTGCTGTGGGGCAGGTGATCCAGAGTGTGGGCTGTGGGGACAGGGGGGTGGCTGCTGCGCTGGGTGGTCAGCATGGACCTCATTGAAAATGTGACCTTCGAGTAAAGATTTCAGGGATGTCAGGAGCTGTCCCCAAGGATGACTGGGAAAGCTCTTTTCAGGCAGGAACCTTCAGTGCAGATGCACTAGGGCAGGAAAGTGTCTGTGTTCCTGGAAGGAGGAAGAGGCCAGCAGGGCTGGACAGAGAAACTGAAATGAGGTCAGAGGTGTGGCCAGAGCAGGGAGGCCTGGAGGGGGTGGTAAGGGCTTTGACCTTTGTTCTGAATGACGTGGAGAGTTAGAGGACAATTTTGAAAAGGGGACATGGTAGGAGTTATCCTTTGGTTGCTGTGTTGAAAACAGAATTGGGAGGTGGGGGACAAGTGAGGCAGTAGGGAATCGGTGGGAAGGAGCGCAGTATTCCAGGATGGAGACGCTGGTTACCTTGACTGGAGTGTGAGCGGGGGAAATGGTGGGAAGTGATGGGATTCCGGATGAATTTGAAGATGGACTTCACAGCACTTGCTAATGGATTGCGTCTGTGGTGTGAGAAAGAAGAATCAAGGACACCCACAGTGTTGGACTGAGTGAGTAGAAGGGTGGAGCTGCTGTCCGTGGAGACGGGGAGACTCTGGCAGGAGCATACGGAGGAGAGGGCATCGCAGGCATTCAGTGGAGGAGACATCTACGAGGAGTGCAGGTGAGGGGCCCGGATGCCTCTGCAGCTACAGCTTCACCACCCAGTTACTCTCCTGGTTCCACCCCCTGTGTCTCAGAGCCAGAGCACTGCTTCTCCCCTGGGCTGTCTGCACAGGTAGGTGGAAGTCAGGGTCTGCTGTTGGTTATAATAAGCCATGGATTATTGTGCTTTCTCAGATAATTAAAGAAATAATAAGAGAAGTTGTAACTAGAACAGTTATTTAAAAGACCACAATAACGCAAAGCATTTTTTCCTTCATTTTATTGATTTATTTTTCATTTTTTGCCTCATTTTTATTGAATCATGTAATTTTTTTTTCAATTTTTAAATTGTATAAAATATACGTAAAATAAAATTTACCATATTTTTTTTAAATTTTTTTTATTGCATTTTAGGTTTTGGGGTACATATGAAGAACATGCAAGATTGTTGCATAGGTAAACACATGGCAGTGTGATTTGCTGCCTTCCTCCCCTTCACCTATATCTGGCATTTCTCCCCATGCTATCTCTCCCCAACTCCCCACACCCCACTGTCCCTCCCCTATTTCCCCCCAACTGACCCCAGTGTGTAGTGCTCCCCTCCCTGTGTCCATGTGTTCTCATTGTTCAACACCCGCCTATGAGTGAGAACATATGGTGTTTCATTTTCTGCTCTTGTGTCAGTTTGCTGAGAATGATGGTTTCCAGGTTCATCCATGTCCCTACAAAGGACCCAAATTCATCGTTTTTGATGGCTGCATAATATTCCATGGTGGATATGTGCCACATTTTCCCTATCCAGACTATCGTCGATGGGCATTTGGGTTGGTTCCAGGTCTTTGCTATTGTAAACAGTGCTGCAATGAACATTCGTGTGCATGTGTCCTTATAGTAGAATGATTTATAATCCTTTGGATATATACCTAGTAATGGGATTGCCGGGTCAAATGGAATTTCTGTTTCTAGGTCCTTAAGGAATCGCCACACTGTCTTCCACAATGGTTGAACTAATTTACACTCCCACCAACAGTGTAAAAGTGTTCCTATTTCTCCACATCCTCTCCAGCATCTGTTGTCTCCAGATTTTTTAATGATCACCATTCTAACTGGCGTGAGATGGTATCTCAATGTAGATTTGATTTGCATTTCTCTAATGACCAGTGATGATGAGCATTTTTTCATATGTTTGTTGGCCTCACGTATGTCTTCTTTTGTAAAGTGTCTGTTCATATCCTTTGCCCACTTTTGAATGGGCTTGTTAGTTTTTTTCTTGTAAATCTGTTTTAGTTCTTTGTAAATTCTGGATATCAGCCCTTTGTCAGATGGGTAGACTGCAAAATTTTTTTCCCATTCTGTTGGTTGCCGATTCACTCTCATGACTGCTTCTTTTGCCGTGTAGAAGCTGTGGAGTTTGATTAGGTCCCATTTGTCTACTTTGGCTTTTGTTGTCAATGCTTTTGGTGTTTTGGTCGTGAAGTCCTTGCCTACACCTATGTCCTGAATGGTTTTGCCTAGATTTTCTTCTAGGGTTTTTATGGTGTTAGGTCTTATGTTTAAGTCTTTAATCCATCTGGAGTCAATTTTAGTTTAAGATGTCAGGAAGGAATCCAGTTTCTGCTTTCTGCACATGGCTAGCCAGTTTTCCCAACACCATTTATTAACCAGGGAATCCTTTCCCCATTGCTCGTTTTTGTCAGGTTTGTCAAAGATCGGATGTTTGTAGATATGTTGTGTTGCCTCTGAGGCCTCTGTTCTGTTCCATTGGTCTATATCTCTATTTTGGTACCAGTACCATGTTGTTTTGATTACTGTAGCCTTGTAGTATAGTTTGAAGTCTGGTAGTGTGATGCCTCCCACTTTGTTCTTTTTGCTTAGAATTGACTTGGCTATGAGGGCTCTCTTTTGGTCACCTGGCTGTTTTCTCAGCTCTCCCCCTCTCCTGGCACCCTCTATTCCCTGAGACTCAACAGTATTGAAGGTAGGCAGATTAGTAACTCTACAATGCCCTCTGAGTGAGTGTCCAAGTTAAAGGAATAATTGATCCGTGCCACAGACTTCATTGTCTTATTTTAAAAAATTGCCCGCAGTTTTTCAGCAACCTCTCTCTTGTCCAGTCAGCAGTTGTCAACACTGAGGCAAGAGCCTGTACCTACAAAAACATTAGGATTAGCTGAAACCTCAGATGATTGTTAGCATTTTTTAGAAATAAAGTAATTTTACATAAAGGTATGCATATAGCTCATTTAATACATAATGCTGGTATTGTACACTTAATAGACTACAGTAGTGTAAAAATATGACTTTTGTTTGCACTCAAAAAACAAAAACAAATGTGTGACTTGCTTTGTTGTCATGGGCTGAAAACAAATCTGCAAAATCTCCAAGATACGTCTGTAATTTCCCTTTCCCTCTTCTTGCTGGCTGAGAATGGGCTTGTTTCTTGCCCTGTCTAGACCTGCATGCTGTAGGGGTTTGTCTTCTCTAGTAGGTCTGCGCACTTTGTATCACTTGTAACCTTGGCTCCTGGCATATGACACTGGTACAGGCCTCAACCTCTATTGGACTAGTGAGCCTCCCCCCACACCTCCTCAATTAGAACCGAAGCTTGGTGTACACACGGAGCATGTGTGAGCCTGTGTGGAGATGTTGGCTTCTTTTTTTTTTTTTTTTTTTTTTCATTTTAAAAGACTTATATGTATATTTTCAGAAGCAGCAAGGTAGACAAAAAAATAAAACACACACACACTGGTGAAAATTGTATCTGATCCTAAAGTCAGTCTTTTGGAAAAGACAATTTCATTAGATGGATGCTGACAGCCATTGAGAGAAAAGGAAAGCAGACTGAATTTCTGGGCACTACCACAAGAAAAAAAGAGAACACAGAGAGCTGGCCCCAACCTCAAAAGTGATCCTACATCTAACCAAATCGAAAAATCCACATGAGGTTTCTCAATATTTATCGTAAACAATTTATCAAGATATCTGGTTAGCACTTAGGGTACAATGTGATAATGGAACATCATTTTTCTTGGAAAAATCAGGGTTAGAACCACAGCTTTGACTTCATTTACATTTAACCAATAATCTGGGCTCCTATATGGAAGTAGCTTAAATGCCTTGCAGATTAACCATGGACTAAGAACTTTCTTTGATCTTGAATACTCTTCCAAAACACAACCACAGGGCTCCATTTCTCACCCAGTATAATTATTCCTGAGCAGAGCATTATCAAATAATATCAAGACAGGGACTAGCGTGGGGTAGTAAGGTAAAAGGATTTAGCTAAGTAGCAACTCAAATATGAACAAGGAAATGAGCCTAAGACACATTAAGCATTTAGAATAAGCCTACCTGATTGATGACCATGGCGAATTAAACTTCATCTTCAATTATTGATATTAATGACCTACTGTGAGCAAGATGATCTCTAAGGTACTTTCTAATTGTGAAATATTATTCTGTCTTATCTATCAGGCATAACTGATAGCCTATTACTACGTGTGTTTTGACTACATTTCTGTCTGTTTTACTAAAAGTAAATAGTTCAATTGTTGTCATCATTCAAAGGTGCCACCACTTTTATTTGTTTACCAGATCACAAGATGATACTGGTCCATTACTCTTGACCTAGTCAGACCTTGACAAAAGACTTAATGATGCCATTTAGGATGCATTTCCTTGCTGCTTTTTGCAGGGCTTTTTCATTGTTACATAGACAGTGATAGGAACATCAGTTATTGTCAGGCAGTGACTTCCAGGGCATCTCCGGAGTTGCCTGGTTGGTGACATCTCCTTCCCATTACAGGCAGCACTGGAGCTCATCCCCGGTTCCAGCCCAATTGAAGAATCTCCTCCTTCCACTGGAAACCTCTTTGGCTGGGTCCCAAACTGAAAAGGCATAATTCACTGAAAACCTTCCACAGAAGCCTGGAATTGCCAAAGGAATGATGATCACATGTTCCAATGACACCCAGAAATTATGACATCGGAAGATTTTTTCACATAGTCTACCCCGGCCTCCGGAGCCGTAGTTGCTCAAAGATGTTGACAAAGCAGCAAGGATCTGCCGTCCTGAGGCCCCGATGCTGGCTTCTTATGGGATGTTTTGAAGGGATGTCCTGTTGTGAGTGAAGGGCACAGCCACAGGCCCCTGGGCAGAGAAGGGAATAGATGACATCAGTTTTGATCACCTGGACACAGGAAGGTCCTCAGACAAATATTCATGCCTTAGAAAGGAAAACTGCCCGAGAATGAACAGCTGCTAGCCAGCTTGCTATCTGGGACGTCACTCTGCACTGGGAGGGAGGATGGCCTCTGCCATGGTGTAGGGGGCCAGGACCCAGGCAGGGAGCCCTTCCTAGTGGTTGGCGCTCCTCACAGTTGGGAGCTGAAGCACCTCTAGATGAGGCCAAAGACCTCATGTTCCTCATTAGCTGACTTGTTCCCACTCAGTGGAAAAAGAAACCAGAGACTTTGTGAAAGTTTACACGAGAGGGACTTTCATTTTGACTCTTAGTGCCAGAATTATGCATGACTCATACTTGCACTGCAATGTAGACACCGCTTAAAGTCTTAATTATTAGAATATGAGAGGCCCAAATGACTATTGTTATAGATATGTGAAACTATACACATAAGGTTAGACAACCTGCAACCAATTTACGTTGAAGATAAAATAATCACATTTGTAAATTTAAAACACCATTGGCAGCTATCTAGGAAAAACAAAACAAATGAGACTTTTGCAAGACAATCTAAATGATACACTAATAACAATCCTTTATGAAAGTAACATTTCAACCACCTGTGTTTCTGCTTTAGGTTATAAGTCCAAAATGGAGTAAACCCCCGTAATTTACATTAGGGAACCCTAAGCCACAAAGAAAGGCATGAGAGCAGACCTGAGATCTGGAGTGAGCACACTCCCTCCCTCAGGGTCATGAGTGAATCCGCTAAGACCCCTCCTCCCTCAGACACTCCATCCAGTCATCAGGAGGTCCACACAACACTGAGACCCAACCACCCCTCCATTCTCACCTCCCTGGACAGAACCCAGGTGCAGCCACCCCTGCTCCTCCTCCTTCATCTCCCACAGTATCAGCACCATTGTCAGACTCAAGTCCACTAGGAATGAGCTCATTACGGCTTTTCCCTGTTTATGTCACTCACGCTGGGTCCCTCCAATGCCCTGCATTCACATCCCCACAAGGCCCACAAGGTTCTGCACACCCC